GTTTCATGTTTTATTTACCATGAAATTACGACAAGCTTATTTTTCAAAATACTATGATTATTAAAGAAGCGACATTAAAAATTTTTATTTTGCATCGCGAACCACAGTCCGCTCATGATATTAGATATTTCTGTACGATTTTATTTATGTTTTACTAACTATTGCAAAGAATATCGAGGACTTTCGAAACTTACAATTACTGTGCCAAGAACATATTATCGAAGACCTATTATCTTCTTTTTTCCAAGAAAATTATTTAATCTTCCAAGAGCCGTGATATACACTGAATTCTCCTTAGTCGACGCTCAGATTATGCACAAAAATGGACAATTTGTGAAGAGGAGCGTCTTGCTGCTCGTTTTTTTATAGTATACCTTACCTATAGTATACCTTGGCATAACCTTGACAATAGGTAACTATAAAAACGTGCCGCAAGACTCGAAATATAATAATCGTATCTCTTCTTCCAAAATGGTCCATTTTTGTGGACAAAAACTGAGCGTCAATTAGAGAGATTTTACTGTATTCATAAGAAGATATACATTTAACTCGTGCAGAAAATGCACGAGAATCGTTTTCAGAAACTGTACCTTCGCTAGAAATATGATTTCTTAGGTAAAAGGACAACAGAGACACCGTTTAGGAAACGGAATGGACTTTCCGGGTGACCTATAAAATACGTAGTAACTTTCATGGACAGGTAACCTCATTCTTTGCTTTTAATACATTATTATACGTATTTTCTTTAACGATTTCATGCTTCGCTGTTCTACGATGAGAACGGTTTCTTTTCTTTATCAGCCTGATCGTTTATATAATACAAAAATCAACATGTTCATGCGAATGTACATACTTTTAAAACAACTTTAAAGAAATCTCGTTGAATTCGAGATGTCGAGCGGTCCACAAAAGTATTCGCTCACCTATTAAAACGCTGTTACTTCTTTTAAGATCGGACTAAACTTAATTGGATGTTTTTTAGATGATAGAGAGACTAGTCTACTAGACAATGACTGGGATGCTTTCTTTATAATTTTGCCATTATTTGAAACGACAAAATAAATAAGATAACTTCCGTTTTCTAGCTTTTCTATCCGAACCTGTAATGAAAATTTAAAAAAATGCATTATGCAGATCACGGTAACTTATACGCATGCCGAAAATCTCATCGAACTCGTTTGACGTTCTTATGAGTTACGAACTATTTCTAGTGAAATAGAAATATACATGGTGTTTAAAGAAAAAAGTGGTTCAAGACTTTAAGGTGTTATAGTAATCACCGAGAGGAGTAAAAAATGTCGAATAAATATGGATTCAAACGTCGATACTTTCGACTGGAAATCGACTTTTCGTACTACGTCCACGGTTGTCAACGCAGGATTATTACACTGGCATCGACAAGAATTCTTTCATACATATACATGTAATTCTAAATCTACTTTGCTGTAGCAAATTTTGTAGTAGGTAGTAGATTGGCGAATAGAGCGAAGGGGTCCAGTAGAATGGCCTCCTCGATCTCCTGATTTAAATCTGTTCGATCTCTTTTTATAAGAACCCTTAAAAACAATGGTCCATTCATCGCACGTAATTAATATAGAAGAATTACAAAGAAAGATCAGAAAATACGTGGTCGAACAATACGAGATTTGAGAGGAATACTTGCAGACGTACGTCGATCAAGGCTTAGCAGATGTGAACTTTGCATTGCAACAGAGGGAAGACGCATGGAAAATTTACCGTGACAAAGAAAGTTTGTTTTGCATTTATGAAAGAACCCTCGTTGATGCTAGTCTAATAACATTATCACGTATCGTACATTCATGAATACTAAAAATCGATCTTCTGTCGAAAGGATTGACCTTTGAACCCATGTTGATTGGACTTGAACCACCTTTTTTGTTTTAACACCCTGCATAATGCATATAATTCTGGCCGTTTCATCTTACAAAGAATAAATTATAAATCAAACATTTTTCCAGCTCATAAAATTCGGTTTCGCGCAATTTACTGTTAATAAATACGTAAATCTTATATTGTAAAATTCCATTGATCCATAAATACCAAATTTCTTGAAATTTTCACATGTCGCGTTTTGTAATAGAAACAAATCGGACGTAAATGCTTTGAAGTTAGGAAAGGTTTCCCTATCTCTCGTGGAAAGTTTGACATTTACCACTTACAGTGTTTTCTTACAGCGATGTTCCGTTTATCGCGATGCGTTAAACGGCAAGCAATTAAAGAACGATCGGCGCGGCATGGCAGCATAGTGCAAAGTAAAACGTTTGGACATGCCGGTCATGTGGGTAAGCTCCGATGAGCGGAATCATCGGGAACGGCGAGATCATGTTTGTATCTCTACTCGACCTCTGTCTAAGGCCGCCGACATGGGTTTCGCTCGTCGAAGCCTTCCTGTAGACGTGAAAGGTTCTGTAACTGGTTCCGTTTAAACCATCCGGCCCTCGCGATCAAAACCCAGTAACCTAGTAAGAAATACTTTCTGAAATGCAAAATTGCATCTGCTGCCTCGTTCCACTTCCGCTATCGCGCGTTAGACGCGTGAAAGTTCGCGCAACATTGTTCGGAAGGCGCGAGATTTTTTCGTTATCATCGAGCAACGAGACAAATTGCGGATTCCTCTAAGCCCAGTGTTTCTCAACGTGTGGCGTACGCTCCAGCGGGAGACAATTCCGAATATTTTAAAGGGGCGGTTAGAAAATAATCGTGGGAAACAAATTATTGATGTTGCAATCCTAACGTTTCGTGAAAAAATGACAACATTACAGTCGATCCAACGAAACGTGATCTAGTGCATGTGCACTAGAAGTGTGCAAACCCGCCTGAGTTTCGGGAACCCAAAGTTCGAGATAGGTCGGAAAGAGTCGGGGGGGATCGGGCGGAATCCGGATACATTTCACAGGATCTCGAGATACTGAGTGTTTCAAGACTGCACTCGGTTCTCGGATGGTCTCAGGGCGGTCTCAGGCTCTATGCATGAAGAGTAGTATGCATGCTGCCTGAGATCGAGCTGGCCGAGATCGCCTGAGATCATCCGAGAACCGAGCGCAGTCCCGAAACACTCAGGATCTCGATTATTGATCTCCTCGATCAACCATTCAATCAACTTGCACATAGAGAAATTAGGCAATTACTGTTCTACGAATGTGTCATCAAAATCCTAGATACATGAAAGATTCATGGTATTAAAACTTCGATAGCTGATTTGAATTTATGATTTACTACATAGAATGGCATCAAATAGCGGATATAGCTGGATTCGTCTCGAAACCAACTATTATAATGTTACAAGAAATACGTGTTCCATTCAAAAAAGATTAACATGTCCTTAAAGTCTCCTCTACCGCTTCAATTGCACAAAAAATATTAAGGCCAGGTAATGTGCCGACGTTTACACTTAAACGGGACATGCTATATAGCTGTCACATGACAAAAATAACGAGAATTCGAAAATCGAATTCCTTTCGATTTTATAGAACGCTCCACGCAAACTACTTGTTGTCTCTTCATCCACGATTCCTCTTCTATACTTCTCTTCTCCTATCTCCATCCATACTCCGATCTCTATTTCCCCCTTCACGCGCAGCTTCCCTTTACGTCTCCCCTCTTAACACATTATTGTAACTCTCACAGTTGACCGAGCTCCACTCTCTCCTTCACTGTGCTTTTCCTATTCCCACCATCTGTGTCTAGCTTGGTGTAATCACTTTCTCTATTTCCTCCATACGCCCTATTAAAAATTAGAATTAGTTGCTCCCCTAAAACAGCGATTTTAGCTGTGCCTGAGACAGATGGACCCTTTTTTTCCCCCACGTGAACCGCCTGACTATGTGAACGTACAAATGAAATGCTACTTATATTTATTTAGAAATATGTACCACTTATTATTATTAAGTCGTATTCATTCTAAAACAAAAAACAAACATGATCGATCTATCTAATGGCGATATTGTCTTGTGAACTAGGATAATGCAGAAAACAATTTATTAATTGAAACTTCTTTATGCGATGAAACAAATTATTTATTGTTGATACTGGAATAAATGTGTCTAAGAAAAAGATTGATCGAGCTATTTTAACGAGTTAATAATAATAAAGGTAATCAAATGAAAATTACACTGTGTATCTTGAAATACACTGAAAACTATTGGGTTGGCAACTAAGTAATTGCCGATTTGTTCAATGAAATAAAAAATTTTTTCTACTTGGCATGAAGTTTAATTTGTAATGTATTTTCCATTTTATTCGATGACCTTTTGCCATCTCTCTGACAACTTGAAAATTCCACGCTCGTAGAAAGTCTGATCCTTTTCGGCCAAAAACTGAGTTAAGTGAGATTTTACAGCGTCATCATCATTCAAAGTTTTACCACGAAGGGAGTTGTCCAGGGGTCGAAATAAGTGGTAATCCGGTGGCGCGAGATCAGGGCTGTATGGTGGGTGTAACATTAATTCCCAACCAATATCCATCAATCTTTGCCGAGTGGACAAAAACACCTTTACGATTGACCAATTCTGGTCGGTTTTCCTTGACAGCTCTATTCAATTTGTCCAGTTGCTAACATTCACGGATAATAAAAAATAACATAATAATAATAATAATAATTTTATAATATAACATTTACGGATATCATAAAAATGGGAGTGAGAGACATCTATAACTGAAATCGGCAATTACTTAGTTGCCAACCCAATATATAAAACATTTAAGAACATTTTTGATCCATAAGAAGCGAATCATTATTTATCTCGAAAATTGCTTAAAATCGATCGGCTCCGAATAGGAATATGTATTTTTGTTTAACTTGATTCCATCTTCAGTCAATACCAGTTGATAGAAACACTATTAACTACAGGACAAGATTGTTAGTACAATTTGATTTCTTTTAACCAAATTTTATTGACATATTGGTATAGAAATATAGTAACAATAACAGCGGAACAAGGTTTTTAAAATTCAACCTTCTAGGTCAATTCAAATGCTAGTTCCAGATTCACCAACATGGCACCGAATTTGTTCGGTACATCAGCGACACTCTACTTGGAAGCTTCGCAACAAGGGATCCATAAGGAGAAATCTGCGTCAGAGAATGTGGACAAGCAGCAATTGATTGCCCAAAACAGCTCACAACAACCGAAGTATAAATGGGACATCGTCTGGAGAAATGTGATCGCTTTTACGTACCTTCATTGCGGCTCGTTGTATGCAATGTATCTGTTGATCTTTCATGAAGTAAGCCCTTACACATTTATATGGGGTAAGTTGTATTCCTAGAATATGTATTTTCGCACATACACTGCCGACCAAAAGTTTGGAATTGCTTGCAAATCGAATATTTTTATACATTTTACATTGTATACATTCTTATACACATTTTTAAATATTTAATTGTATTGCTGTGTTGAAAATATTCTTGTATAAATTGTAATCCCAATTTAAAAGAACGTTATACGTGAATCTAGCCACCACGTAAAATGACAATCTGTTTAGGCGTTTTATAGTTTGCCACCTGAATCTTTCTCACTTGAGAAAAGACACAACGGCCATATTTGTGCTCCGATATTTAAATATGGCGAAAACGATACAGATTAGTGTTGAAACTATAAATACTATTATTACACTTAGAAAAGAAGGTTATTTTGTAGCTCCGCGGTTTTTCTTGCCTGACCCACACCAAACCAGACCATTTTGTGTTGATCGACACACGCTTGACCGACTCCGACGACACTTAGCATTAATTTATTAGTTAATTTATTAATTTATTAATTACATAGACGTAGGACTAGCACAGGGAAATTCACAGTAACCTGAAATTTGGCATTTCCGGGAGAAATTACTGTATACAGTAAATTCTCCCTAATTCGCGCTGAGATTGTACACAAAAATGGACAATTTGGAAAGAGGATTTGGGCCTCGGTTTTATAATGATGACAATCAGTAACTATAAAAACGAGTCCCAAGGCTCGAATAATCATATCTCCTCTTCCCAAATTGTCCATTTTTGTGCACAATCTGAACACGAATTAGAGAGAATTTACTCTACACAGAATTCTTTTCCAATGTTTTCAAACATAAATTTTTTCAGGTTTATCGTTGGGAATGATTTCGGCAGTTGGTGTAACTGGCGGCGCTCATAGATTATGGGCACATCGAGCATACAAAGCAAAGTGGCCGTTGCGAGTAATCCTAATGATTTTGCAAACGATTGCCTTCCAAGTAAGTTTCGTCCTTCATTTTTTTTTACGTTATCTACATAACGTTATCTACACATATAATTCACGCTACATAGTATTTTCAATTGAAACTAAAGTAATAATTGTAGTAATTTCTGCTCTCTTCTCCTCCCTTCATTATCTTATCATTGTCTCTCTCTCCCTCTCTCTCTCTCTCTCTCTCTCTCTATCTTTCCCTCTCACTCACTTACGGTCCATCTTTCGGCTACGCAAGACTTCGAGGAACCTAAGCAATAAACTCAGGTCACTCGAAGCTGCCCAAACACTCCGCAGTCATCTGTCTTCTTTCCTTTTGGTGACTTATTACATCGACCGAATTCTTTGCTGCCATGAATTTTTCAATTATCTATAAAATTCTATTGTCAAACATAATGCGTTGTCCCATTGTTCGACACTCCCCACATTTCAATGGCTATTGTTGCAGAACCATATCTACGAGTGGGCTAGAGATCACAGAGTACACCACAAATTCACCGACACGGATGCTGACCCGCATAACGCGCAAAGAGGATTCTTCTTCTCCCACATAGGCTGGTTGATGCTCCGCAAGCATCCCGATGTGATAAAGAAAGGCGCCACCATTGACATGAGCGATCTGGAACAGGACCCCGTCGTGGTCTGGCAAAGAAGGTAACAAATGTTCGAATTTCTTTCAGAAATATTTGTATATCAGCGTCGGGTAAACTATGACGAAAGAGATATGTCGCGGGAGATTCTTAAATCATATCGTTCCATAACACCGTTCAACGCCAATTAGTTTTCTCCATTGCCCTCAGTTTTTAATAAATTTCATTCCGAAGAAGATTTTGCAATTTTCAGAATTTTCTCTACTATGATCGTAAAAGCTGTACGAATGATTATTACGTGGGACGATTCTATAGCATGTTGAAAATCGAACAGTACGAACACTTGAAAATTTTTTGCACCAATATATTCAACGTACTAATTTTAATTAGAATCTACGGAATACAAAGCAGTCGAAGAAATAATTCAGTCTCAGACATCTCAATCAATCTTTAATTTAGTTAATAATTTTTAAATGTCTTTGAAGCATCAATTTTCTTGAATTTTTTTTCTGATTACTTCAAGAATTGAAACAATACCACACGAAATAGCCCACTTTTTCGTTTCCGGTTGAGAAAATAAAATACGCCTGAATGCTAGTGATTCTCAACAAGGTAATTGCTGGATAATTGTAAACAGTAAAATAAACAATGAAGGTGATAATCGATCTTATACAAGTTTTCTGTGTTTCTGTGTACTCAAAAACAAAAGTTCTAATTTTTCTTAGCGGTTTACAGAGGATGACATTTTCTCAAAATAACATGATAAAGAAGAACTTTCGGACTCGTGTCACATGAATTAAAATTTATAAGAATTTCCTCGTGGTTATCAAAGCCCAAAAAGCAATTAAATTGAACAGTGTATTCTACTGCGAATTGTACATTCGTTTCAACAATACGAACGAGTAGCTGCTTGCGTCGACATCTCCAGTATTTTTACCTTTCTCCTCCGATTCCGACAGATTATACATCATCCTGATGCCGCTATTCTCCTTCATCATCCCGACGTGGATACCTATCTACTTCTGGAAAGAGGCACCATTGACGGCCTGGTACGCAACCGTGTGGAGGTATACCTTCACCTTGAACGGCACTTGGTTGGTAAACTCTGCAGCTCATATTTGGGGAATGAAGCCGTATGACAAGTGAGTATGCTTTCTTCTAAACGCAATCGATATACAAAATTATCCCAAAATTATATCACTTCCAAGAAATGAAAACTTGACACTGTACAGCTTTGAAATGAGTAGTTTTTGAATTCGTAATAAAATGACTAATTTTTTAGAAACTATAGAGTGTCGAGTTAACAAGAACTTAAACATTTACGATTTAATCGTACAGGAAAACATGTCGAATATGTTCGTTCTTGGTACCTTGGCACTCCATAGTTTTCAAAAAATTAATCTCTTTATTACTCGCATATAACGAATAAGTAAACAATCGCATAACAGGAGAAAACTAAAGCTTTCGAATGACGTATAAGACATAATTGTTGAGCAATTATTATGCGGAAAATTTAAATCGAAATTAAAACCGCACGAATTTATGGACCAATCGAATGCGAATTGAAATTTACATAAACATTTGTCATGACAACATTTTAATCATTTAAACAATCTTAAAAGAAGAAACCAGAAATAAGTAAAGATCCGTTCTGTAGCTGTAAAAATATTGTACAAATTTGTTTTCTATGAAATGTAAAAAAAAGGAACGTAGCGCATGATAGAGGCTAAATACAACATTAAATGATAGAACGACATTTACGCTTCTAAATAATATATATATATTGCATAACAAAGGTAAGTTAAAAGTGTTCTGTTTCAATTCACAGAACTATTGGACCAACGGAAAATCGTGCCGTCGCTTTAATCGCTATTGGTGAGGGCTGGCACAATTACCATCATGTGTTCCCGTGGGACTACAAAGCGAGTGAGTTGGGAGACTACACGCTAAACGCGACCACAGCTGTCATCGATTTATTCAGCAAAATAGGCTGGGCGTACGATATGAAAACCGTTCCCGCTGAAATCGTGAAGAAACGTGCTATGCGTACCGGCGATGGGTCAATGCAAGTATTTCAATGAATTCTTAATTCAGTAATGAAAATTAAGTCTTGAATTTTATTGCCTTGTTTTTATAATCTTTGTTTTTAATGAAATTGTAACTATCGCATTTTAATCTTCGCATACAGAAACATTTAAACGTTAATCTACAAGTTTTGCCCTGCAAATTTCTACTTTTATAAATCGTGTTCACCTTTCCTTTCAATGATATTCACCTTTTTGCAAATTCTATCCCTTAGCTTTTTGACTTCATTTAGAAACGACTTTTGGAATTTGGAATTGAAAAACTTCTGTCTCAATGCCGAACGTTGTTCAGCTTCTGTTACAGTTTCCTAACAATTCAATAACTTGCTCTACGTCTTTCTTATAAAAACTTTCTGCCCAACAATTTTGGAATCTGATCTAGCAAACGGTTTCATAATTATTTATATAAATGAATAACTAAATAATTGAGCGTTATTAAAACAAACTTTTCAAAATCAATGAAGTCGCTTCACCAGTTTTCTTTGGAACTTTGATTTCGTAAGGGTTTGCTCTATTACTTAATTTTTCCTTCTTCGTTTTTCCATAGATATGAGAATGGGCAATTGACTCATACTCACAGTCACGAAGATGCGATTTGGGGTTGGGGAGACAAGGACATGGAACCTGACGAGATCAAGACAGCGGAGGTCTATAACAAGAGCGACTAATTAATCGTATTCGCGGGATTTCACGAGAGACGATCAATCGTTCACAACGTCAATTAATACATTTTTCATATACAAGGTCTATGGTTGATCGTTTGAGGAATCTTTCGATTTGTAGTATCAAATCTACAAAGCGTACATGAATTCTCATGAAAGAAAAGATTGGGGAGTTCTGACCGCAAAATGTCTCATTAACAATATCAGAAGATTTTTCAAACGATAGTGTAATTGTCTTTGACACAATCGAGGTCTAGAAAAGTAAACGCTTAGGGAGCGGTTTTGTTAGATTAGGTTAAAGTGAAGAAAAAGACAAAAAAAGAAAACAAGATCTATTTGATATTTGGTCAAAGTTGCATCGGACAGCTTCCATACACGGGGAATCAAATTAATTCGTGGCCTTTTCCAGTTATCGTTTCGAACGATGCGAGCGTTTTATTGTTAAAACCGCGATGTAATATGTACACCGAGACGACTCTGTCGGGTAAAGGTATTGTAGTTTATTAACGTATCAATGAACTCTGCTCTGCTCGCATTGATGCCAATACATCGTGAACGACGAGCATTTATCGAGACCGGATCATAATGCAGCTCGAGCGATGTAGAACTATTGTAACCAAAGCACTGTAAACCATGTATGAATCGTGAATCGTGACAACGATGGGGTTGGAATCACGCGAATGTTTCTTAGGCGTTCGATAAGAAGAATAATATGCTTTGTGATCAGACACAATGGTAGAATCTAGATTATTCTAAAATGCTCCATTTCTGTAAAAATTTCAAGCGTAATTGGATCTGTAGAGCTGGCCTAGGCGAGTCGCAGCTCGTGAACCGAATGTGGCTCTTTTCTCCTCTTACGTACTCCGTGCTCCTCGTCCTCACAATGCGCCTTCAACGTCCGTCGACACTCACGCGACACCGTCGCTTGCGGCGCGGCGTCAACGATGACAACGGGAGTCGCGAGAAACGATATCACATTGTTTCTTTTGTGCTTCACGCGGAGCTGCCCCGGTAGCAATGTAGCATTTACGGAACACAGGTGTTAACGAGGAAAGAGTGGGATTGGTGGTGGGAGCTTGTGGCTCGCGGTCAAAATGACTCGCCCAGGCCTGCGTAGAGAAACGTTCCTAGTTTAGTACGATTCAGTAAATTATTATTATTGTTATTATATATATTGTTATTATTATTTATGTTGCATGTAAATGTTGGAGAACTTGTGAAATATGAAGTCAATTGCAATCCAATGTAGTTTGAATTTATTTTTTATTCGCTGAAATCATTAATGAAACACCGCTGTTACTACACAACATACATATAATAGAACGATTAATATTAATGATGAACCATGAAATTTTTATTTGGATTTAGTTTCTCGCGTGTATTACTAAAATTTACATTTTTAACACATGCGTTATTTAAAGTTTTTTTACTTTGTATCTATTTTGAAAACGAAATTTGTCTTTCAAGTTGCTTCTGCGCGTCACAAGTAATGACACGTTAGACCACGGATCTTTATGAATAAAAATTTAATACAATATGAAACTTTGTTGCTAACAGTCCATTTACATAATTCAAATTATACGTCGCGAAACACTTTTATTTCGAAGAAGATAGATAAATAAACTTCCTTAAGCCCGATTTCTCTGAACAATGAATGATGTAAAGATCGTGTGACAACCAGCAACAAAGTCATTTCGAAGTCAAGGGAGAACGCAAAGAAAACCAAATATTCTCGCGATCGAATCGACGAGACAGATCCAGGCGCGAACGATGCAGCTCGATCTTCATTGTCTTCCTCTTTCGAGGAATCATGCTAGAGTCGTTGTGAAACAGAACCCAGACAGAACGGAGTCAATTAAAGCGAACTATACATATTTCAATCGTGGTAATCGACGACCACGAGTGAACCATAGGACGTGTCGCGCAGACGACAATCGTTTTTCAATTAGAAAGAAACTAAGGGAAAAGAAAAGGCAAAGTCGAGAAGAATTCCAAGGGCGACAATCCAATTATCGACGACTTGCCTTGCATCTAGATTGTACTGTCGTGCGTAGATATCTGTATTCTTATCGATCACTTTTGCAAACTTCATCGTACTAGATTCGAAACGCACAACCAAAATAGAGACGATCCAGCTGATCATTGTGAAAATGCGGAACATTCGGTTCATTACGTATCTCTATTGTGCGCTACTATGGTACGATATCTACTTTATTTATTCCTCAGCCAGAATTTGTTTAAGACGTAAGAGCAATTATCTTCCATTCGAGACATGTCACGAGACTAGGAAAGGCACAGACAATACTTTTCGCAAGAAATTCCTTCGCTGCTACTCTCCAATTGTACGCTGATAGGATTAAATACTAATATGGATTCCTACGATACGAGAATTCATTTTGTAGCGATCATGAATGTAGTCTCAGCAGCTTCGAGCGCATGCTATTTTTATCTGTTGGAGATATTCGCAATCGCGATCCTATTCGTCTTCGACTGATTATGTTAACGGTGATATTTATTTAAATGGTTTCAGTGATCAGAATTCGTACGTATTACAAGGTGCCAGTCTTATACATACACGTGCTGGATATAGGCATAATTTTATTTAAGAAGAATACAGGTGACGAATAAAACCACTACATAACTATTCTATTCCTGTGTGCTTTATAAAGGCGGAAATACAATTTGTAGATTATAATCGGCATATTCATCGAGGGCTATTTACTTTATCCAGGATCTGTACATACATGATGTACCTAGAACTTAATAGCGAAAAGTATGTTTATTATACGTTGCTTTTCGTGTGAGTCAACACTAGACTGCCGATATTTATGCGTTTGTAATATATAAACTTCTCGATACGCTCATGAAGCAGAGTTGAACACGGTGTTTTTGTTAGCTTGATCCATAACGAATTGTTTTTACGAAATTCTTTTCGTAGTTCCGCAGTCTAGTTATCACTCGTACAATCTATCGATATTTATTTAATATAATGATGGGAAGCATCAAATAAGTTAGTACTTCTTGTAAAGTGTCTTAGACTCGAATAAATGTACAAAGATAAAAGGAACCGTGTATTGTTCACGACTCAATTGAATACTTGTTCGATCTTCATCGGAGACAGAAAGGTTTCATTTGTCGTAGAATTGTTGAACTTACGTGTACCTACATTTTATCTAGCACAAGTGAATAGCACAAAAAGTCATTAAAACTTACAGAATCTTACATGGAACATATCTTTCGTATGAAGCGTACAAAATGTCTGACAGCGAACAGACTATTTCCACTTATACGCTTTATTTCTCGTTCTCCTTGCACTTGATTATTATCATATCATTCTTTATCTTTTAATATATGCATTATCTTGACAATTGTATCGAGACAATTAATTGGCGACAATTGTGTTATCCGAATGGATTTACAACCTTGTTGATATCTCCAACAAAATGTTCCTCTTCTATCATGTCAATGTGTGTTTACAATATTTTCGTTATTACAGAAACGTTTCAGTATATTTTTATATATACAAATTTTATAATAATTTAAATGTTTATTTTAATAATGCTTCCAGAGAGATGAATCAGAATTAGTAAATGCATCTTCATTACATTATTCTCGTTAGCTGTCCATCGTTTACATTTCTACTAACAAAGCGAAAGTTAACTCAATTTTCCCTTGAATAACTTAATAGAAAGGATGAGCGGTCTACTCGCGCAACTAATTTTTAGCGTGCAATGAATTCAATGCCATCAATTGATAATATGGATCAGTTGTAAATATCTTTTACCATTTCTTGTTGAGTATCCGAGATTCAGGACTACATTTCTTTTTTTTTTTAGGGGGAGAGATACATTATTCTGTATAAGAAAATTAGTTTCCAACAAGCGACTATAAAAGGAAGTAACTTTAACAAAATATCCGCAATATCTCGATCTCACAAGCGTATCTTTCAGAATTCAGAAACCGAAATATTGTTCGACGCTTATAGTTCGTATGCATATAAAAAAAGAACAATGAAGGTGTAGTGCGTAGGACATGCATATTATGATAATATAATACGTGGTTAGTTAAATACGCAACAACGTTTCTGTTGCCCGCATACGGTTTAATATGGACAATATCGTCAGCTTTGTATGTATTTATAAATAAATTATTGTTATCCTTAGAAGCGCCTGTTGTAGTGATTCAACGCTGACTTGGTTCCCATTAGTATCCTTCCATTCTAATGAAAGATAAGCTACAGTACAACTCATAGTTTTATCATCAAATATATTTTCTATTGCTTGGTGCTTTTAGCAAACAACACATAAAAATTACTCGTATCAGCTGAAGTGAATTTCAGCAAAATCTTATTCAAATTATGAGATCATATATGAATAATGAAACAAGCAATTTTTAATTCTGCATTACTGTAGCAGAAATGTAACAACAAGTCTATGGCGAGTTTACGGTTTTTGTTTTGACGATGTTAAGCAACGATAACATCAAACGTATATTTTAAACAATATTCAATGGTGCAATAAAAATGTTATTCTTTTCTTAACGATTTTGGTAAGTTCAGAGTAACATACCAGTATTCGTCAATTCTTCCATCGTTTTCATCGTTTTCTGTTTCACCTACGTAGTTTCTTTTTTTCATAAATGCATAAAATTCGCAGTGTAGTCATAAATTGCATTATGCTAATCACAGATATCTTCGTTGTCCATTATAATACGGCTTTGTTCGTTGACTGTGACACCTCAATGGTTACATTTGTTCGACAACATTTATCTCATTTATTTATGAACGTTGTAATATTTCCATCGGCTTCCTGACGCACCGTGCGCCAATTCGTTGCCGCGTTCAACGATTTAGCGAGACCGCACCGTTTCTCGTTAAGAGATATTAAGCCGACAATAAGATCGATAACTCATATCGATATACATATTGACAACTAGATGTATGAATGGAACTTTATACTTTTTCAACTTATCAATATCAATAACTTTGTGATTGACTGTGGAAACGAATCAGCGTAGATAAGGAAAGGAAAACATTTTATAATTATATACTATATACAATAAAAGAAAGAGACAATGAAAATGTTAATGGCAAGATATCAATGCTGTCCACAAAATTATCTTACCGTATAATCGCGGAATTATACGATATTATATCGCGCGAAAGCTGAAATGCTGAACCATAATTCTGTTTCCATCTCAATGAACAATTACTTCAAACGATTCTCCGTGACTCTCCGCATTACACCAATGCATAGAACATTTTGTGTTCAATTATGTCGTCGGAGATAGCGACGAAGATTATCCGTTTAATAAATTCGATACGCTGGCGTAATTCAATTGAAATGCTACTACATTTTGTAGCAAATCGTGCTGTACGTAGTTAGCTACCTACATGCTTAAACAAATCAAATACGAAAATTGACTTTTATTGAGAAAGAAATTGTTACTCGTGTATTTATTGAATACATGTATATTTATTTATTCGCGAGGCGCTAATTACGAAAAGTATATGTATCTATACAGTTTGTTCGAATGAGTTTTACAAACACGTTCGTTTCGCGAGAACTGAATAACGAATGAAATTATGTGTTGCGAACACTTTCATGTTGCATCCTTAATACGTGAAATAAAGATTCCTGGTGACGAATCAACTATTGCGGAATTGCGCATCAGTAATTCGATCCAATTGACTAAGACTTTGCACACGGCTCCTCTACATTGCATCCAATTGAGAACGAGCCTATTTCATAGTGTGGCCAGTGTGCTCCCTGCAGTTCTTGTTCAATGATTAACGGAAGAAGAACCACGTGCTTCACAAAGTCAAATTTCTCTCGTAAACGAAAGACATTCCCGCCTAATCGCAGTGATAAACACAAAAAGTACGGAAAGGTACAAAACGGCTATTTTTTTAATTTTGTTTACATTGTTCCGTAACCGAAATTAATTAGTACTCCTTGTTGTGGATATCCTAGAATTTTCGTTATTTTCCGTTACCGTTCTCTTATACACAGGCAAACCCTTGCGAAGCATTGTCCATGGTTGATCTACATTTTAAAGCTTCAACAATTTTCTAATGGAATGCGATTGAATTCATTACGTTAAATGGTACGTTGACAATTATTAATAATTATTCTTGGAGCGATATTTATCTATTGTAATCATAAAGTATTGCATATACTTACTTTGACATAATTTAATTCGAAAAAGATCACAGTGTTTCGATTTGTCGACGTGATAGGCAGTCGTAGGGACGTCCCTCGTGTCCACACTACTCCCTGAATAGTCGACAAACTGAGGTGGAGTAATAGAGGGGGTTGTCCACTTTTCCAACTGCGATACGCCTGCAACGACCCGACGCGATGTAACCACGTGACGACAAGTAGGTCAGCTTTTTGCTATGCGGCGCTTTCCTACCACTTCGTTGTTCGTCTTTGAATAGGAGTGGGAAGTTTGTCGACGAACTCGGCGAGCGTGCGGACGCGAGGGACTTCCCTATGACACCAATAAATGGAAACGCTGGTAGTACTTACACGTCCAATCAGAAATGATTCTTGCCGCTTTCGCCGTATTTACGGCATTCGAGCCGGCGACATAAGGGCATCCCTCGTGTCTGCACTAACCCCTAAATCAGGGGTGTCAAACTCAAAAGCTAACTTGGGCCAAATAAACAATGCTTAACTTTAGGTGGGCCGCAAAAAAAAAATCAATGTTCATAGAAACAAATATTTTTATTTTGACTAGTACATTGTAATAAACATATATAAAGTTAAATTATTGCTTACGTCCTGATACTTGANATTTATTTATTCGCGAGGCGCTAATTACGAAAAGTATATGTATCTATACAGTTTGTTCGAATGAGTTTTACAAACACGTTCGTTTCGCGAGAACTGAATAACGAATGAAATTATGTGTTGCGAACACTTTCATGTTGCATCCTTAATACGTGAAATAAAGATTCCTGGTGACGAATCAACTATTGCGGAATTGCGCATCAGTAATTCGATCCAATTGACTAAGACTTTGCACACGGCTCCTCTACATTGCATCCAATTGAGAACGAGCCTATTTCATAGTGTGGCCAGTGTGCTCCCTGCAGTTCTTGTTCAATGATTAACGGAAGAAGAACCACGTGCTTCACAAAGTCAAATTTCTCTCGTAAACGAAAGACATTCCCGCCTAATCGCAGTGATAAACACAAAAAGTACGGAAAGGTACAAAACGGCTATTTTTTTAATTTTGTTTACATTGTTCCGTAACCGAAATTAATTAGTACTCCTTGTTGTGGATATCCTAGAATTTTCGTTATTTTCCGTTACCGTTCTCTTATACACAGGCAAACCCTTGCGAAGCATTGTCCATGGTTGATCTACATTTTAAAGCTTCAACAATTTTCTAATGGAATGCGATTGAATTCATTACGTTAAATGGTACGTTGACAATTATTAATAATTATTCTTGGAGCGATATTTATCTATTGTAATCATAAAGTATTGCATATACTTACTTTGACATAATTTAATTCGAAAAAGATCACAGTGTTTCGATTTGTCGACGTGATAGGCAGTCGTAGGGACGTCCCTCGTGTCCACACTACTCCCTGAATAGTCGACAAACTGAGGTGGAGTAATAGAGGGGGTTGTCCACTTTTCCAACTGCGATACGCCTGCAACGACCCGACGCGATGTAACCACGTGACGACAAGTAGGTCAGCTTTTTGCTATGCGGCGCTTTCCTACCACTTCGTTGTTCGTCTTTGAATAGGAGTGGGAAGTTTGTCGACGAACTCGGCGAGCGTGCGGACGCGAGGGACTTCCCTATGACACCAATAAATGGAAACGCTGGTAGTACTTACACGTCCAATCAGAAATGATTCTTGCCGCTTTCGCCGTATTTACGGCATTCGAGCCGGCGACATAAGGGCATCCCTCGTGTCTGCACTAACCCCTAAATCAGGGGTGTCAAACTCAAAAGCTAACTTGGGCCAAATAAACAATGCTTAACTTTAGGTGGGCCGCAAAAAAAAAATCAATGTTCATAGAAACAAATATTTTTATTTTGACTAGTACATTGTAATAAACATATATAAAGTTAAATTATTGCTTACGTCCTGATACTTGACATCAAAAATGTTCATCTCGGGCCGCGAGTTTGACACCCCTGCCCTAAATAGTAAACAAACTAAAGTAGTGTAATAGAGAGGATTGTCGACTTCTGGACACTGAGCATAATATGTAATTGAGATTCATAATTTTAAAAAACATATAGATTTCAAAAATTTCGAAATATGAATATTATTCGTCATAGCTTACAACATAGACTGCACGATCATTGCAGTCCTTTTAAAAGTATAATTGAAGAATAAATCTACCTGGTAAATAGATTGACGTTACCAGAAGTTAAAGAGACCAAATGTAAATCGTGACACGGAATCCAATCGGTGTCCTTGTATCAATAGTGAAACTCTCTTTCGAAGTCAACAAGTGACCGCGAGCAAACATACGGCTGACCAAAACGATCTATACCAATTTTAGTACTCGACCAAACCCACGTAGATGGGCATCGTGAAGTTAATGTCACCATTGTCAGTTCATTGCAAACACATGGAAAGGGTTTACTTTGCGTATTTGATCCCCGACTTTCACTGGTGCGGCGAAACATTGTCAGCGAGAATCCAGTTTATCTTGACCCGAAACAGTCATTGATCGTAGCAATTGTGACGATCAGAGATAATCGACTATATAACGCGCGCGAGATTAGTGAGTTAATTGCGTATTATAAAACGGAGCGAGACGCGGATCGAGCGCGAATCGATATCGGCATATCGAGGAAAGCGTTTCCCCCCTCCCCATGTTTCATTCTCTTGCTTGTTTACTTAGCTCGTTTGCTTTTCACGAGTCGTTCAATTCGATCGGAGGCGACTGTTGCCGTCAATTGCACAGGTCATCCTTGGAGAAAGGGTGCCGCGCGACCGGTATAATTTAATAACCCTAGTTAAGTGATTCAGTCTTGACGGTGCGTCAGTGGTGCGTGAACACGTCGGTGCGTTCCTTTGGCCGCGCGTTGCACTCGACAGACCGAACCTAAGGTGAATGATGTTCGTTTGGCAAATTTCTGATTTCTATATAAATATTTGTTCTTACGACACTGAAGGATGAAATATTGACGGGACGGTTACGCTATTGTAACCATACTCGCGAAGGAAAAGCAAACGACGGTTTTAACTTTATTTTCTCTCGAAGTTACGAAGATCCTGCAATTCGACAGTGAAAGTGACGAAATTAGAATAACGTTTCGTGAAAATCAAACGTGGTGTTGTAAAAATCATGTCGGTAATTATGATTACTCATTAAAATGGGTAATTATGCACAAAAGGTTGTTGTCAGTATGAAAGATGTGGACAACTTTTTCCAATACGATGAAGATAATACCGTCTTCACTTTTTTTTTTTAATTAAACCACGCAAGGTTGCTAATCATTTAGTACGCTATAAAATTGGGAACAACCGTTACCTTAGTACCTAAATAACATTTACTGAAACTATTTATCATGCATAGTTACTGTAGTTACGTTGTGATACCGTTCACATTTAATAATTAGTGTATCCCAGTTAATTATTATCTTACATATTTAATAACATCGTCGTTTCTATACGACGTGATGCATATACAAAATACTATTATATAACATTGTTATATAAGTATTATATAAATATGCATTGAATAAGGTGTAAAATAATAAATAATTATACGATGAAATGTCCAAAATCACCTGTAAGCTGAATGGCAAATTATTTGTTTCATTCAATTGACTCATTGCTTATACTTTTTCTGAAGACAGCGATTTTTGGAAATTATTGTTACGGGAACAATGGGATTTCATACAAAAAAATATTTTCGTATTTAAAATGATTTATTTCAGAAAATACCCGGTCATTGTTTTATGTCAATATATTTATCAATTACAAAGTGAAGGTTGATATCCGCGCATTCTGCAAAAAAGGATGTATAAAAAAAAATAAAAATTCGATAAAACTTGGACGATATAACATATACTATTTAGTCCTCGAACAAAGAACGTTTCGAAATATTAATTTGACAGAAAACGGTGGACGTAACAACACAATCGGTCGTTTACAATGAACAAAAAGTTTGTAGAACAAACAGAAATCTTTTATTCAAGGACTAGATAATATAATATATTACACAAAGCTTATCGAATTTTTAATTTCAGATGAACCAGTACCCAGAAGAAATGGTCACCGTCTTTCTGACAAAACAGCCGGAATGTCGATCACAACTTTGTAATTGATAAATAGTCTTAAATAAAAATTTTATTATACATTCTTTAAAATAAATCAGTTTATATACAAAAACATTTCTCATGTAAACTGCTACGATTTTAAAGGTAAAAAAACAATTCCCAAGCATCACATCATTTCAGCGTTCTGACTGAACGCGAGTTCTTAATATTATAACCGTTTAATATTTTACTACTGAAGTGATAAGACACCTACAAATGTTTGAGTAAGCCTTTTCTAACAGATGCAATTAAATCGTTCTCCTTTTGATGCCACCAATAACTTAAATACTGGTGTACTTATTAACGAAGATTATACCATCGTTGTACATCTAGCGAATTACATGTTTTATTTCGATTTGCTTTAAATTTCCCGCCATGAACCCGATCCTGTGTTCTCTTTATCACAAGACAGACTTAAGGTTTCGTAATTCTTTAAGAAATAGGTTAACAATGGGAGAAAAGTTGGTCAGGAAATCATTGCCACAGTTGCTGGATGTTTTAGATTTTAGGTGATATCTGCGTGCTCGTTTATGGTTCATGCGCACTGGATGGAGACAATGTTAAAACGTAATTCCGGTGGCGCTCATCGCGATGTTGCGAACGCATCACTGGAGACACAAGTGCACCGTGGGTCCGGCCTGCTCTGCTTCACTTGCAGCATCTGTTTCATTTTAAGCCTGATTTGCACATGCCTGGCAACGCTATTAGTCCTTCTTGATCAGAAAGTCGAAGCCGCCAGCTATCAAAACCGTGAGTAACTCGGCATAACCTACACAACTGTCATCGACCGCTTCTGCCGGCATTTGTTATGATTGAATCGTACTAATTGATGGAATCGTGACGACATGAGCTTGTCAAATTGAGTTGTTAATGTTCGTTGGTAACACAAGGATCATTGTTACCAGCATTAACCAACGGCTCGAAATTTGAAACTTCGATCGATATCATGTCTGGAATTTTGTTCGATTCGAAGTATGTTTAAATTGCGAAATTTAGTTTGTGTTATTAAAGACACAAGCTGAACTTTATCATTGCCCCCTCCCTAGTTTTCACATGCTGAATAGGGAATGTAAATTACCATTTTTTGCGGAAATACTCTAGTTTCCAAAATTTTCACGAAAAACTGCTGCTGATACTACTGCAATAAATCTTGCGTATAACAATATGCCTGAGATGGCGCGCCGCGGCGTATGTGTATATCATCATGGAGTCCCCCCACTCCTCTACCACTCTGCGCTGCGCGGCGGTCAGCAAACAAACTATGAAGCAAGCGTTCCTACTTTTTCAAATTAATATTTCCAACCACTTCATTCGTATATCGAATGAGAAAGGGGTTTAATAACAGAACGTAAATATTCTTGTAAAATATTGCTAATGAGACATAATTTATAAACAGTTCTAAAGCAATATTCATGCTTACGTGCTTTTTTGTATACAAATCACAGGGTACTTAAATTTTCATATTTGCGGGGATTGCGGATTATTATGAGAATTCATGTTTTGTCGGAGATAATTAAAACACCTTTACCCATTGAGGATGAAATGTTGATTATCTTTATCATTGTAATAAAGGCTGGTGGAAATTATGAAATACAGTAAATTCTCCCTAATCGACGCTCAGATTGTACACAAAAATGGACAATTTGGGAAGAGGAGGTACGATTATTCGAGTCTTGCGGCACGTTTTTATAGTTACCGATTGTCAACAACTGTAAAAACGAGCCGCAAGGTTCGAATAATCGTATCTCCTTTTTCCAAATTGTCCATTTTTGTGTACAATCTGGGCGTCGATTAGGGAGAATTTACCGTACATCTATTAAAAACATTTACAATTACAAGTACACAGAATTTCGAATGTTGATCTAAACCAACACACGATTTATCGAACTGTAATGAAAATTTCTACGAAAAGATTGTTATCTTACACTTTAACAAAACGTAAATTTATATAAAGCGTTCATTTATAGTTTTACTGACAAGAAAAAAAACTAAGTTTTTCTCACTTCACAATGTTCTTATCTGATTGTGTTTCAGTTGCGCGTTGCGCCCACGACAAATGCGCATAATCCGCAGTCTACATTTTAAGAGCAGCCCGCTAAAATGCTTAAACACAAAATTATCGTTCGTTTCTCCCACGAACTTGCACCGGTATCATCATCTTATCACGGTCGCGATACCGCTATCGAAATTCCGTTCAGCAAATACGAGCAAACAACTAATTGTGCACAAAAACTACCCATCACCTGTTTCGTTCTCAGCTCAAGCCGTCATGAACAAGCAATTGATAGAAGAGCTATCATTCCGATTGCCGAGTGAAGTGAAGCCATGTCTCTACGACATTTACTTGTACCCGGACCTGGAAAAGGGTACCTTCCAAGGTAAAGTGATGATTCTGATCGACGTCTTCGACACCAGGAGTTACATAGCTGTTCATCAGAAGGACCTCAATATCACGTCCACTCAACTGAAGACCTACGACCGGGAGGAGAACTATGAGATCGAGATCGAGGAGACCATACCCATACCGAAGAACGAAATGTTCGTGGTGTCGACGAAAAACAAGTTGCACTCGGGACTTTATAACTTGAGCTTCGAATTCAATGGTGCCCTGCAACCGGATAAGATCGTTGGATTTTACTCGAGCAAGTACAAGAGCTCGCAAAACCAGACCAGGTGAATTTCGCGCTTGCAACGCAGATTTCCTGACTAATCGTTTGGGATCGATTCGAATCGAATACACGCGATGGGGCATTTATATGTAGATTTATCAACTAGATAGTCAGTAGGCATGAATGCATCTCTTTCTCTTTCTTTTCCGATCTGTCCTTATCAATTCCGCGTATTCCCTTATTATATTCTTCCAATCGCTATAATTATATAGATGAGAACTCACGTGATTCTCCGCACCAAATATTTAGACTGTTGTCGCTATCTTGGTTTTCATTGAACTGGCTGGCTTGCAACCTATACCTGTGAACGCGGATGGATGAGGACCACCACGCTGATTTCTTTGAAGAAATGCAGTATATTTATAAATTATCCGCGATGTTAAAACAGAAGTTATGCTAAACATATCAAAGATCGTTTGCACGAGCAATTAGGAACTTCTCAGAGTGCTTGATATCGACGTAATTTTATGTCGATGGAAAGACAAAGAAAATTGAAAATTTTGTTCGAATGTAACATGAGAACGTAACTAGTTCGTTATATTTGTAGGCTTATCGCTACCTCCAAATTCGAGCCCACTTACGCCAGAAGAGCGTTCCCGTGTTTCGATGAACCAGCGTTCAAAGCTGAGTTTGCAATACAACTTGTTCATCCTAGTGGCGACTGCTACAATGCTTTGTCTAATATGAACGTTGAGGTAAATTTTAATTCTTTGATAAATTATGTGATAAATTCTTTTAAATAACCATAGTATATGCATATACAAATTTTGTTATTCTTTTGTTAAATATTGTTTACATTAGAATGTAATGTACACTATCTCTGCCACTTTTACATAGATATTTCATCGTTTATATTAAAGTAGTCAAAATGTCTAAATGAATTCTCTTATCCCACGTGATTTGCAGAAAGTGCAAGTAAATCAGCCATCGCTTGGCTTAACAACAGTCACTTTTGCGACGAGCTCCCGAATGTCTACGTATTTATCGTGCTTCATAGTCAGTGACTTCGTCGCCGTTACCAGTAAAGCAAAGAATCACGACGGCCGCTTGTTTCCGATCAGCGTGTACACCACGAGTGCTCAAAAGGAGAAGGGTACTTTTGCTCTTGACATAGCTGTAAGCGTCATCCAATATTACATTAGCCTGTTCGACATCGGTTATCCCTTGCCAAAGCTCGGTAAGCTAACACACGATATTACAACTTAATTGTCGATTTTAAATCCGTATCGTTTGATCAACACTGTTTTCGCCGATAAAAATTCATCGATACTAAGCTTTATCAAGACCAGACTTTATTAACATCAGTTTCCACCTCATAATAATGATTTACACTGGGTTTAACCAAAGTACCAGCAACTTTTTTTTATTATAAATTTTTGTCGATCGAAAGATATAAAATATGTCAATAATAATGAAAAGCAAACATTTCTTTATAATTTAGACGATTAATAAGAATAGCATTTTCCAGTCGTATATTACTGACACTAGGCAATATCAATTATATGTTCCTATTATTTATAAGGACATAAAAATTCATTTCTTATTACCATGAATTTTACAAAACTGTATTTTGGCCAGCTAGATCGACAAATACCCGCTCGGTTAAATGATACGGATCCGCTAATTTTTCGTTTTTAAGTTTCCGTCTTTTCTTCGTAGATTTGGCAGCTATTCCTGACTTTGTATCCGGCGCAATGGAAAACTGGGGACTCGTCACTTTTAGAGAAAGTAGATTGTTGTACGACAACAAGACCAGTTCTACCGCAAACAAGTATGATATTGTCAGCGTGATCTGTCACGAGTTGGCGCATATGTGGTTTGGAAACTTAGGTGAGCAGAATTTATTATCTTAACATTTTAGTAATGAACAACTGGCCATATTATGATAGCCATATTAATTATCTCAGAGATTATTCACGTTCGTGATTTAGAGAGACTTCAATAAACAAATAAGTTACTCTTTCCAAATAAAAAATATATACTTTCCTGCAATGAATGCTAGTACTTTGAGAATAGGTAAAGGAAAAGTGTTCCTTTTTAAACTGTTCTAATTTTGCTTTAAACTAATGCCATTTCTTTTTTTAATTCGAACTTCCGTTTTAGTCTTTTCTGACATTGACAATTCATAGCAACTATGACATTTTACAGTTACTATGGCCTGGTGGAACGATCTATGGTTAAATGAGGGCTTCGCCACCTTCATGCAATACAAAAGCGCTAATGCAGTACTTCCGGACTGGGGATGGGTTAGTGCTTTGATAAATAACTTCCTAATATGTCCTTGTAATTTCTTCGAATATCTCTTGAAAATTACGAAACTGATATTTATATTTTTACTTTTGATCATTTACGAAACTAATGTTTATTATATCTTATTTCGTTTATTATTTATTTTTTACGGATGGTGCGCGACGCTATGCAGCTCACGGTAGAGGGATCAGTTTGGCAAAACATATAAATATTTCTTGTTGTTTGTTTTTTTTACGAACTGTAGCATCGATTGTATAATATTACACAATTTCTTTTATATCAAATTATTTATATAGAATTGCTTGATAAATATAAGAAAATAAAGGAATAATAGTGGAATATAAAAAATACAAAATAAACGTACATATATGTACATATAATAAACATGAAGCAGACTGTCGTAGTATAACACGATTAATATGTTACATCTAAAGTAAGAGATCGAACTCGAGAGTGATTATTCGAGTGTTAATAAATCTGTTTTTTACGATGCGGTTTCAGATGGATAGGTTCCCCATGGAACAGATGCATACCGTCTTCGTGACTGATGCAAAATTGAGTTCACATCCGATAGTTCAGATTGTCAGTAATCCTGATGAAATCACTGCCATTTTTGATGATATATCGTATCAAAAGGTACGCAATTTTTATATTACTCGGCTATTTTAGTTGCAACATGAAATGAAACTTTAATACTAACAAGATCTACAACTTTTTTCATTGAACACTGTGTATACGTGAAAAGTTATAAAAAAGAACACGATTTATTGAATGATTTAATACCATTGCATCATAACGCTTTCATATCAATTTTCAGGGATCGTCAATAATTCGAATGATGGAAGATTTCATAACTCCCACCGCCTTCTACAGAGGTATTCACACTTACTTGAACAAGTTCCAATATGATAATGCAGAAACGGCGGACCTCCTGACGATCCTCGCAGATGTAACTTGGCCGAATTATTTAAACGTGAAAGCAATCATGGATACATGGACCAAACAGATGGGCTATCCAGTGGTGAACGTAAAGAAATCCGACAACAAATATATCCTTACACAGAAACGATTCCTCGCTGATCCTGATGTTCGGTACAATGTATCGGATTCCGAGTATGGTTACACATGGACCATCCCTATCACATATATCACTAACAAAACGTCTGAACCAACTTGCATATGGTTTGACAAGTCCGATAGCACTGCAGTGATCGAACTGAGTGAGCCGATCGAATGGATTAAATTCAACGCGAATCAGGTCGGATATTACCGCGTTAATTACGAACTAACCGAATGGGAAACTCTGAACAACCTTCTCCGATATTATCACAAGAGATTGTCAGTGTCAGATAGAACCAATCTCTTGGAAGATGCGTTCAGTTTGGCAGCTGCCCAGGAACTTGATTACAGCGTCCCAATGAACATGACAGCGTACCTTCCAAAGGAACACCATGCTGTTCCGTGGAAGGTGGCCGAGTTGAAATTGGGAGCTATTGATACCCTGTTGTCCTTGACCGATCTCTCAACGAAGTTCAAGAAGTACGTAAGAAACTTGGTCGACAGTGTTTACCACGAAGTAGCTTGGACCGTTGAAAACATCGAGGACCATGTTACTTTGAGACTTCGGTCGTCGATCCTTGAACTAGCTTGCTCCGTGGGGCACGAAGAGTGTCTTGAAGAAGGTAGCAACATATTTAAAAGTTGGATACAAGATCCAAAGGATGTTCGTCCTCATCCTGATATCCGTGCGCTAGTTTATTATTACGGAATGCATCATGTTGGCGATGAAGCGTCATGGAATACCATGTTCCAGCGATTTCTCGCTGAGACCGACTCCACGGAGAAACTAAAGCTGATGCAAGGACTGGCTGGAATACGCTCCGATTGGATATTGAATAAGTTCATCACGACAGCCAGCGACGAAAATTACGTTCGCTCTCAGGACTTCTTCGGCTGTTTATCCGCTATTTCCAACAACCCAGTCGGAACTCCACTTGTCTGGAACTGGGTTCGATCTAACTGGGAACTACTTGTGAACAGATACACCTTAAATGACAGGTACCTCGGTGCTTTGATTCCAAGTATTACTAAGACATTCGCCACGGAGACGAAATTGGACGAAATCGAAGATTTCTTCGCGAAATATCCTGAAGCGGGCGCAGGTGCGAGAAACCGTGCGAAGGCTCTTGAAACTGTATCGAATAACATCAAGTGGCTCGCCAAGAACACTGACAGCCTGCGAACTTGGCTAAATGCTAATGTGAAAACTGATTAAACGATACATGTATGCAACCAGTTGTCGATGATCTCGTCGAGCAAAGAACATTCCTCTGAGAGTACTCAAGGAATTGGCGAACGAAACCTGTACATAAGAACAATCACACTTAGTGATTCTGAATTATTGCCAAAAAAATTGGCTACTGTTACTCTATTAATATCTGGTTCAACCACAAGGATGAGATTTTTTCGCTTTTGGAAGCTTTAGTAAAGAACACTATAGAACTGAAATTGAGAAAATACAAACAGAAAATTTTGGAGAGTTAATACATTTAATGGCAAGTGTAAACACTCTAAGAGTATAAGTGTTAAAAGGATTTTCAAGATCGAAATTCACAAGAGAAGTTGAGATCTTATTGAAATTTGTAAGAAGAAATGTTTAGACAGAACTTATTTTCAGGTGCTCATTGTTTCATTTGTTATCGATAGGAAAACTAATCATCGAACGCATGTAACTTGTGAATATTACCTTATCTGCTGTCTACAAAACATAAATGGATTTTCTATAAAACTTTTGTGTTTAATTGTGAAATCCTATAATTCCTTGGGCACATGAAATGTTGAACATATCCGATGTATCGGTAGATACAATCAGAAAAATAATTGTGACAAACAGATGACTTGATCCTTTTAATTATAAAATGAAATCAGTGCAAGAACGCGCGTATAGCTATGCAGATGCAAAATTTATACAGATATGAATGAATTCAGACTTATTAGTAAAAATTGAGAATTTTGTATATACTTCATTTCTACTACATATTATAGATATTTTACGTGGAGTTTCGTATCATACGTTCTAAAATACTAACATCGCTTTAAATTAAAG